CCAAAACAGTTCCTTCTTCGGTTTTGCTTTTAAAATTAGAACATCAATTTCGTAGTGTTGAACAAAGAAAAAAAAATGTGATTCAATTTCATACTCAAACGTTTGCCGATGGTAATAGGCTAAATATAAATTTGCTCCTTTACTACATAATTTCTGTCAATTAGATTTTCAAAAAATTAAAATTTGTAATCAAATATTCAAATTTTTATTTTATCAAATTTTTTAATACTTCGATCTAATATTTATATATTACTAATGTGACATATACATCCAATGAAAATATAACACGTGACAAAAATATCACATCATCGATCACTATGTAAGCAAGAATATAAAAACGAAAAAATAATTGTTTACATTAAAAATAAAATAGAAAATATATAAAAATTTTATAAAAAGATCTGCTCCAAACCGATGACGGAGTGTCGATGATCCCCTCTCCCTTCCCTTCCCCTCCCTCTGTCCGTATTTGCTTCCCCTTTCTTTTTCTTTTTTTTTTTTTTTTAAAATTTGAATTTAAATGAAAATATGATTTTAATTTTTTAAAAAGCTTTCAATCTTTTAAATTTAAATAAAATTATTAATTTTAAAATATTAATTTAAATTTGAAATTTTTATTATTTGTAACAATTTTAAACTTTTTAATATATTTTTTAAAATTTTTAAAAATTATATTTTCTTCTTTATATAAAATGTTTTATATGTAAAGAGAATGGCATATTGCACAAACTGTCCTAAAAAAGAAAAGGTACAAAAAAGGTTATAAAAACTCTTGAACAATTAGATTTATGTATCTGTTTTACAAAGATTTATTTGAAGATAAAATTTTTTATGAATTATTTTCAAAAATTGATTCAAATATTTATGATAATAAAACATAATTTATTTTTATGATGAATACTTCATCTAATCAAGATGATGTATCAGAAATATCTTCTATTATTAACTCTACAACAAATTCAAGAGAAAAACAAATGACTTCTTTATGAAATGTCATAGAAAAACCCATTTTTTTGGATGAAAAACTCAAAAAATTACAAATCATAAAAAAAGATGATATTTATAAAACTAGCTTTTTCAAAACATTCCAACCCTGGATAAAATGTCACATTGAAAAAGTTAGTGGTGACACTATTGCAAATGATTCTAAATAATGATAAATAGAAATATCTCTTTTACCA